CTTGATTTAATCAAGCCCCATATTGTTGGACATTTTGGTTGTTTCCAAGTTTTCTGTATTACAAACAGAAGAATCCTTCCTTGATTACTTTCTTAGAATAATTCCAAGAGTGGGATTTCAAGATCAAAGAGAATACATATCTAAAATTTTGATTCATATTGTCAAACTGCTATTTACATTCCTGAGAGGTGCGTCTAAGAGTGCCAGCATCCTAAATCTTTGCCAACACGAGGTGGTATGATTTATTTCTTTAATCTCTGCCAGTCTCCCTGCTTTCATTGTTGTTTTAATTTGCATTTCTCCTCCCCTCCTCACTTTTTATTGTTCTCTCGGTTTGTATTTAATGAATTGGTTGTTCATCTCCTTTGCCCATTTTTTTCTATTGCAGTATCTATTTAAAGAAGAAAAGAAAATATACCAAGTATTCCTATCATTAAAAGAAAACTTCAACTATTTATTGAGGGTCTGCTCTGTGCCAGTTTGAGGCTCTTGGCATATATTAGTGAGCAAAACACAAAAATCTCTGCCCTATGGAACTTATGTTGTTTCAGGGAGAGAGACACCGATATCCAATAACCAGAATAAATAGTATAGTCAGGGATAGGTCTCTCTGAGAAGACTTGTAGGAGCTGAGGGGGCTAGCCCTGCAGGAACATTCTTGGAGTAAGAACATTCTAGCAGAGGGAACTGCTGGTTCAAAGGCTCAAAAGTGGGTCACTGTCTGGTATGTTCAAACACTTGCACGGAGGCTGTGGTTCTTGGCTAGAAAGATCCCTAAATTAACCCATAATTACATTTGATTCCTAATCAAATGTCAAAAAATGTTTTTCAGAATTTGACAAAATTCTTTTTTTTAATTTAATTAATTAATTAATTAATTAATTATTTTCCCCAAAGCCCCAGTAGATAGTTGTATGTCACAGCTGCACGTCCTTCTAGTTGGTGCATGTGGGATGCGGCCTCAGCATGGCCGGAGAAGCAGTGAGTCAGTACCCACCCGGGATCCGAACCCGGGCCGCCAGCAGCGGAGCGCACGCACTTAACCGCTAAGCCATGGGGCCGGCCCAAAATTTGACAAAATTCTAAAGTTCATCTAGAAAAATTAACATGAGAGAATAGTCAGGAAATTTTTGAAAAAGAAAGCATTGAAGGTACACTAACTCTTCCAAATATTAAAATGTATTACAAAGCTGTGATAATTAAAATAGTTTCATACTGGCGATGGAACAGTTCAGCAATAGATCCAAACATATATGGAAATTTAATATATGCTAAAGGAGGTATTTCAAAGCGGTGAGGAAAAAGAAGCTTATTTAATAAATTGTGTCAGCCTAACTGGATCACTGTTTGAAAATAAAATAAAGCTGGTTCATTCACTCACTCCAAAACCAAAACAAATTACAGAAAGATGTGAGATTTAAATGGGAAAAAGAGAATCCATTCAAGTTCTCTAAGAAGCATATGTGATTTAAATAAAAAATCTGGGGGGGCGGGTGGTGTGAAAGATTTTTTAAAACATAACCTAAAACTCAGAATCTATAAATGAGACTAAAACTGTAAAAAAAGCTCTTTATGAGAAAAATAACTTAAAATCAAAAGTCAAGTGTTTCTATTGTGTTTCTACTTAGCTATGGGCCACCAAGAATTTAGGTCTCACTTAGCTCCCAAAAAGAGTGCCACATTCATCTCGTATCTTACCTTCATCTTTAAGTTCTTAAAATACACCCATGAAGTTATACCAGGTAAAACAGAACATTACCAACATTTCTGAAACTCTTTGGATCTCCCAACTCTCCGGTCTGGATCCTTTCCATCCCACTCAGAACTAACTAGTCTCATATTTTATGCTTATCTTTCCTTTTCCTTTAGTTTTACCATCTGTTTATGTATGCCTAAACAATATACTCTTTAGGTTAGCCTGTTTTTCATTTTTATATAAATGGCGCCATATTGTATGTAAGCGTCTGTGATTTACCTTTTTTCCTTATGTTTTGAAGATTTATCCAAGTCTATACACGCAGCCGGAGTTCATTCATTTTCACAGCTGTATGGTGTTCCATTGTATGAATTTATCATAACTGCTTACCCATTCTAGCATTGATGGATATTGGGTTGTTTCCAGCTGCTTGTTATAATGAACGACGTAACCATGAACAGTCAATGTACCCATGAACATTTGTGAACATTTGGTCTTCTGGGGCACGTGCACTAGAGTTTCTCTGGGGAATATTCCTGGCAGTGTAATTGGTTGGCCGTAGGGTATGCACACACTCCACTTTCCTAGGTAAGGCTATATTTTCCAAAGTGGTTCCACCAATTTATACTCCCACATTCTTGCCAACATCTGGTTTTGTCAGACTTTCACATTTTTACCAATCTAGTGGGTATGAAAATGTATTTCATTATAATTTTAATTTGCATCTCCCTAATTTCTAATACATGGAGAATTTTTTCATGTTTATTGGCCAGCCATCTTTCATTTCCAGGAAATGCTGCCATCTCATTCTTGCTCTCAGGCTGGCCCTAAAATTAGATGAGAGAAGTCTCTACCTACATTTTGTAATATAGTATCTCAATGTTTTCGAAGTATCTTTCCTATCAGTCAGCCAATACCATTTGTTTTTTGTGTGTGTGTGTGTGTGTGTGTGTGAGGAAGATCAGCCCTGAGCTAACATCCATGCCAGTCCTCCTCTTTTTGCTGAGGAAGACTGGCCCTGGGCTAACATCTGTGTCCATCTTCCTCCACTTTAGATGGGATGCCGCCACAGCATGGCCGGACAAGTGGTGCATCGGTGCGCGCCCGGGATCCGAACCCGGGCCGCTAGCAGTGAAGCTTGTGCACTTAACTGCCATGCCACAGGGCCCGCCCCTCAGCCAATACCATTTGTGATGAGTACTCGTGGCCTAGTTTTCCCTTTTCCATTAGAATCTTCTAACAGTTTAGCTAGTCATAGAGAAGGTACAGAGTACCTGTACATGTGCAAGGATGAAAAGCAGGACAGGGGCCAGCCCAGTGGCATGGTGGTTAAGATTGGTGTGCTCCGCTTTGGCAGCCTGGGGTTCGCCGGTCCGGATCCTGGGCAAAGACCCATACACCATGCATCAAGCCATGCTGTGGTGGCGTCCCATATGCAAAATAGAGGAAGACTGGCATAGGTGTTAGCTCAGCAACAATCTTCCTCAAGCAAAAAGAGGAAGACTGGCAAAAGATGTTAGCTCAGGGCCAATCTTCCCCACCAAAAAAAACAAAGAAAAGAAAAGCAGGACAGATGAGTCAGGCATGTGCGAGATAGGAACAGAATGCCCCTAGATTGAGAACAGCAGGAAACTGACTGGGAGGATAGATGACAATAATGACAGCTACCCAATTTCCAGGACTTACAACATAAAAACTATACCAGTCGCTTATGAGTATTATTTCTAATCCTTACAATAATTCTCTACAGTGTGTATTATCATCTCTACTTTATAGATAAGGGAACAGTTCAGAGGCCACAGAATCCTTTGGAGTGCCCAGAGGAGAGCAGGTCAGCATGTAATAATTCAGGAAGCCCTTAATTCACTAAGTGAGCACTGAGTATCAATTTGGGGGCAGAGAGTTTTATTTGGCATTGGAGATGTTTGCCATTGATGGGGCCTCTGCCAACCTGTTATGCTGGGCACCGGGAAGGGACTGCCTGCAGCCATGGAGGAAGCTAATATAGTAAAGAACTGCTTGATTGCAGTCAGGGAGGCCTAAATTTGACCCACCTACTGCCCCCTCATCTGAGACTTGGAAGCCCTCACTCACTGTATAGTAGAAAGGATAAGGGCCAGGCTCCTTCCTGGAACTGCCTCAGCTCTGCCTTGAGAGTTGATCAACTCAGCATGTGCCTCAGTTTCACTATCTGTAAAATGGAAATAATAGTAGCACCTACCCTGATGTATTAGTTCCCCATGGCTGCTGTTACAAATTACCACAGACTTGGTGGCTTAAAATACAGAAATTTATTCTCTCACAGTTCTGGAGTTCAGAAGTCCAAAATCAATTTCACTGGGCAAGGCTGCTCCAGAGGGCTGAGGGAGACCTTTCCTTTGCCTCTTGAGTTCCTGGTGGCTGCATCACTCCAATCCCTGCCTCAGTGGTTACAGTCTGCCCCACTTCTATGTCTCGGTCAAATCTCCCTCTGCCTCCCTCTTATAAGGATACATGTGATTGCATTTAGAGCCCATTCTGAGAATGCAGGATAATCTCTCCATCTCGGAATCCTCAACTTAGTCTGCAAAGACTGTTTCCACTTAAAGTAACACTTACAGGTTGCAGGGATTAGGGCCTGATATCTTTGGGGGCCTTTATTCGGCCTATTATACTCAGGGTTGTTATAAGGAGGAAATCTGCTAATGCTGGCAGAGAAGTGAGTACAGCACCTGCCAGTAGAGAGCAGTGAGTCAATATCAGTGTTTCCTCTTCTAAACAGAGATCTCTAGCAATGCCTCCCTTATAGAGCTGCCGTAAGGTTCAAGCAAAGCACAGGTATAACACTTACAAGGGTATGAGATTAACAAGTGAAATAGAAACGGCACTGTTAACGCTTCTCTCTCTCCCGCTATTCGGATCCCCACATGCCCTCTTGGCTCCCCCGCCCCTCGCGCCCACTCTCATTTTCACCACCTCGCCCGCAAGTCTTCACTCCGAGGCCACGCCTCCTTTACGCACCCTCCCGCTTGCCCCGCCCACCGACTTTGGCGTCCTCCGCCCTCGGTGCGTCAGACGCGTGAGGGCCTTCGCGGTCTGTTCATTCTACTGCCCATCAAATCCTAGCCCACTGTATCCAATTCTGTCTCCTTTCTCAGCCTGCAGATTATTAACCCAATGAAGCTAGATTTACTGAGCTTAATGGTGGCAATTCACTTGCCTTCAGACGGAAAACGAGAGGAGGAGCTGTTGGAGGCACACTGGCGATATTTAAGACAGCCCGCACGAAAGGGGCCGGGTCCTACATACCTCGGTCGCTGAGCCCGGGCCGGCTCGCGGCGCAGGCGCAGTGGGTCCGCCTCGCCATGCCGACTGTCGGCGTGAAGCGCGATCTCCTCTTCCAAGCCCTGGGCCGGACCTACAGTGAGTGTCGACCCCGTAGCCCGGGCTGTGTGCTTCTCCTCGGGGGATGGACACGCCTGCAAAAAGACATCGTGGCAGCGTTCGTGCTGCCGGCAGGTTTTGGCCTTGGGCGGTCGGGGTGTGGACACGGAGAGCTGACGGCCGAGGCGGCCTGGCTGGGCTGCTGTGGCCGCTCGGAAGCGGTTTCGCCGCGGCTGCTCTTGCCTCACCCGCACGTGCCCGGCTCGCCGTGTCCCTCATTCAGCGGTCTCGCATCGAGCGCCTGGGGCCAGGGGGGAGAGAGGAATGAAGCCCCGGGTCGCATCCCCTGTATAGCTAGTTGAGTGCAATAAGGAGGGCGTTATGGGATCTCCGCTTGTGAGCAGGAGCGGGGACGGCGTTCTGTCTTCGTTTTATTTTATTAACGTTTGCGGAGCGTCTGTTCTGTGCCAGGCACTGTTTTAAGCCCTTTGGGAAGACGGCGGTGCACGTGATACATAAGGCCCACATTCACATTCTGATGAGGGAGGCAGACAGTAATTAACCAGCACATTAATAAAATGGTTTCTAATAGCGTTAAATACTATCAAGGAAGCGAAGATATTGTGCTGAGAATAGCATCAGATAACGGTGGTAACATTTGGGCTGAGACCTGAATGATGAGGAGTCTTTACTCGTGGGCTTAGTCTTCATGCTACACTTCATCTCTTCTTCAGTTCTAAAAACACTACCGTTAAAAAGAAAAGGGAAATATTAAGTATAATTATCAGTTACCGTATAGCAGTTGAAACATCTGCCCCGCTCCATAATTATCAGCTTGTATAAACGCTGTAGCAATTGATGTGGGAGAGCTATTTTTGGTTTTAGGGCTCAATATGATGACAAAGCCCTAGTCAGTTTAACAGGTACTGCTTCCTAGAATAAGACGTTACTGTGAAAATAAAGTTAGGTTTTAAAGACGTTTCTAAAGGTGCACTTTTAGATAGTGTGTATTCTTTTTTTTTTTTTTTTGTGAGGAAGATCAGCCTTGAGCTAACATCTGCCAATCCTCCTCTTTTTTTTTTTTTGCTGAGGAAGACTGGCCCTGGGCTAACATCCATGCCCATCTTCCTCCACTTTATATGGGACATCGCCACAGCATGGCTTGACAAGCTGTGCCTTGGTGTGCATCCAGGCCTGCGAACCCGACCCCCCCCCTTGCTCTACAAACTCCAGTCTAACTCTTCACACTTTTTATTTTATAATGTGCTTATTTATATTTCTTATCCATCCTTCTAAACCATATTCTCAATAACGGTATACGATATGCCTGAATTGCACAAGACAGTATGTGGCAAATATTTGTTCAAGATATCTATGATCAGTTTCCACCTAGGTATCCAGTTCTGAGAAGGTAAGAAATAATCCAGGTTTTAAAAAATGGTGAGGTTTATAACGTGTTTACTGTCATCTGAAGTTTGAATATATTCTGTAGCTGCCTGCCTTCTTTTTGTTTCATGTGGAGAGAGATCAGGTAAGCTTGATTTTCCACATATGTCTCTCAGCTACTAACTCTTTATGATTGCGGTCAGAAAGATTGATGTTACTGAGAGATGTGCTTCAGACAGGTCAGAAATAATACTCATCGTTAGTTTATATTTCTTGTGTTCCTTCTTGCACCCTTTTACCTGTTAAATTGAGTTGAGGTCAGAGTTGGAAAAGCATGTTTGGCAAAGGATCTGGTTTCCAAGTAGTGTGGATCCACCTTATTTCCTACTCTTTCTTTTTTTTTTAGTGAGGAAGTTTGGCCCTAAGCTAATATCTGTTGCCAATCTTCCTCTTTTTGCTTGAGGAAGATTGTCCCTGAGCTAACATCTGTTGCCTGTCTTCCTTTTCTTGCTGAGGAACATTGTCCCTGGGCTAACATCGCTGCCCATCTTCCTCTATTTTGTATGTGGGCGGCTGTCACAGCATGGCTTGATGAGTGGTGTGTAGGTCCGCGCCCAGGATCCAAATCCACTAACCCCGACCACCAAAGCGGAGTGTGGAACCTAACCACTATGCCGCTGGGCCAGCCTCACCCTCTTTTTTTCTTATTTTCAGTTAATGTCTCATTCACTCTTTTCTATCCCCATTCCCCCTTTATTTCCAGTCCCTCCAAGGATTGCTTTTTGTCCTAAATTCCATTGTTTCTACTGGTCACTGCCTTCCCCTTCACCATATCTTTGCTTATCAAGGATATTTCTCAAGCTACTTTTGTTGTTCTGGTCAATTTGCTTTTCTAGGGTAGTTTTGTTTCCTTAATCTACCTTTTTTTCGCCTTTCTGCGTAGATGTTTTCCTCTTGCCACTCATTTTCTTGTGAACCGATTGATTATCACTATTCAATTCTGGTCCTGTTCTGCTGTGGTGTAATTGCCGGCAGTGCTGCCAAAGCCATCTGTGTATGTCATACATACATCTTCAACCCTGGAGATGTAGGAGAGCAAGAGGTCCAGTAGGGCAGGTAATCCAGAGAGTGCTCAAGATAGAAGCTGCAGTTTTTAATAACATCTCAGAAGTGGTATACCATCCTTTGCCATATCCTCTAAGTCCTACAGACCAATCCTGGCACAGTGTGGGAGGGAACTACACAGGGTGTGAATACCAGGGGCCAGGTACTGGAGGCCGTCTTGGAGGCTGGCTGCCACAGCCCTCCCTCTGGCCTCCAATGCTTCATGGTCCTCCCACGTGCAAAATGTACTGATCCCCTCCCAAGGCCCCCAGAAGTGTCGTCCCTTTACAGCAGCAGCTCGTAATCCAGAGTCTCATCTAAATCAAGTCTAGGTGTGGATGAGGCCCTCAGGTGTAGTTCCTTAAGTAGAGCTGCTGAGTACAGTTACCCTTGGCCTGAGAGACTAGAGCAACAGGTTCTCTGCCCCACCTACCCCTACCATACAGTGGTGGGACGGGCATAGGCTAACTACTGTAGACGGTCCTTTTCAAAAGCGGGGAGCCAGCGGGCACTTGCAGCACTGGTTGAAAATCTCAGTTACGTCACCCAGTACGTTTTCTACAGTCCACTTAACTGGAGGCAACGGCATTGCTAAACTTGCTGCCTCTACGCAGAAAGGATTCCCCTCTTCCAGTTTCCAGTAATGCTACCTCACTTTCCTCCATATCGTCACGTGTATCCTTATCAAAGACTTGGAGGCTTCTACTAACAGCTTTTTCAAGGCACTTCAGGTTTTCATTTACACTTGCCTCAAAGCACACCTGTCCCGATTCCAAAGGCTGCCCCGTGTGTTAGGTTTTTGTTATGGCAGCACTCTAGTTCCAGGGACTGAAGTCTCTGTTAGTTATGTATTGCTCCATACCACGTTACCCCAGTTCTTAGGAGTGTAAAACAACAAGCCTTTAGTATTTCATACAGTGTTTGAGACATAGGAGTGGCTTAACTGGGTGGTTCTGGCTCTGGGCCCTCACCAGCTGGCGGTCAAGCTGTCAGCAGTCCTCTCAAGGCTTGGCTGGGCTGGAGAAATGCTCCCAAGCTCACCCATGTGGTTGCTTCAGAGCTCAGTTCACACAAGGATGTGAATACCAGGAAGCAGGGATCACTGGGGCCTCTGTTATTCCCTGCCCTAGTTAATGACACCCCCACCTACTTGTTCACCCACACCAGAGACCTAGCAGTCATCCTACACTCCTCCTGCTCACTCGCTATTCCCACCTCCCACTCAGTCATTGAACCTTGCAGATTCTGCCTCTTTAACATTTGTCCTGTTCTTCCTTCTTCCTCATACTCACTGTTGCTGCTTTAATCAAGTCCTCACTGCGTCTCACCCATACTCTTGCAGTAGACTCCCTGCTCCAATCCATCCACCACCCTGCCACCATTCTTTAAATGAGGATCTAATCATACTTTTGCCCAGCTGGAAATCCTTCCATGTAACACCCCATTGCTGCAGGCAGGACAGAGGGCAAATCCTTTTGTGTGTCAAGTTGACTTGTTTCTACTTGTTCTGTCATATCTCTTCTTGACATGGACCTTATGCTTCATCCATATTGAGCTTTCCAGATTTGCCTGCTGTTGTCTCACTCCGCCCAGTCTCTGCCTAATGAGCTCATCCCTTCTGTGAAGCCTCGGCTGATCCTGAGTGAAGCTCATTACTTCCTTTGTGCCACCCCTGTACCTTGCACTTGTAACCCTATTTACACATCTGGTTTCTTTACTCGAGTAGGAAGTAGGGTGGGAATTGTGTTTTATTTATCTTTGTAGCCACAGCACCTAGTACAGTGCCTGGCATATAGTAGGTGCTCAATAAGTGTTAAATTGAAGTTCAGTGTAAGGATCAGGAATCTTTTTTTTTTTTTTTTTAAAGATTTTATTTTTCCCCCCAAAGCCCCAGTGGATAGTTGTGTGTTGTAGCTGCACATCCTTCTAGTTGCTGTATGTGGGACTCGGCCTCAGGATGAACGGAGAAGTGGTGCCTCGATGCGCACCCGGGATCCGAACCCGGGCCACCAGCATCGCAGCGCGCACACCTAACCACCAAGCCACAGGGCCGGCCCAGGATCAGGAATCTTAAGACCAACTTTTCACTAGAATATGCTGGTAATGATCGTTTGTGTTCAATTTGTGGTAACCAGAAAACCCTGAAAATGCTGTATGAGGTAGCAAAGCAAAGTAGAATCTAACTTGAAAATAAGGAAGAGAACTATTAATTATTGCAGGGCTCCCAGGTTTAGGGCACTAAGCCAGCCCCATCCTCTGCATGAACTCATTTAAATCTTTCCAACAGTTGCATGCTAGAAATAAATAGCTGTTAAATGCTACTTTACGGATGAGGCCTTTTGATCCACTTTATGGATGAGGCATAGGAGTCAGAAAGTTGACATAAGATGCCAGGCTCCCAGAACTAGTAGTGGGTAGTCAGAATGCAAACTCTGATTGGCCTGGTTCCAAAGCCAACTGTCAGGCCGCCTCAGAGAATTTTATTTTATTTTTTTATTATTTTTTTAAAACCTAACCATTTTATTATGATAATAAATCAGATTGGGCCGGCCCCGTGCCTTAGCGGTTAAGTGCACACGCTCCGCTACTGGCAGCCCAGGTTCAGATCCCGGGCGCGCACCAACGCACCACTTCTCCGGCCATGCTGAGGCCGTGTCCCACATACAGCAACTAGAAGGATGTGCAGCTGTGACGTACAACTATCTACTGGGGCTTTGGGGAAAGAAAAGGAGGAGGATTGGCAATAGGTGTGAGCTCAGGGCCGGTCTTCTTCAGCAAAAAGAGGAGGGTTAGCATGGATGGTAGCTCAGGGCTGATCTTCCTCACAAAAATCCATCAATCAATCAATCAGATTTTATATAAAAGTACAGCAAATGGCCAGGTAACAGTTTTTGCTCTGTGTCTCTGGAAACCATGCTATAAAGCAGATTATTGCAGAAAGAGGGTGAATCTTTTTTTTTTTTTTTTTTTTGTGAGGAGGACTAGCCCTGAGCTAACATCTGATGCCAATCCTCCCCTTTTTACTGGAGGAAGATTGGCCCTGAGCTAACATCTGTGGCCATCTTCCTCTACTTTATATGGGACGCCTCCACAGCATGGCTTAACAAGCGGTGCGTCGGTGCGTGCCTGGGATCCGAACCTGCGAACCCCGGGCCGCTGCAGCGGAGCGTGTGCACTTAACCGCTTGCGCCACCGGGCCGGCTGTTTTTTTTTTTTTTTAATTTTATTTATTTATTTATTTTTTTCCCCCCAAAGCCCCAGTAGATAGTTGTACGTCATAGCTGCACATCCTTCTAGTTGCTGTATGTGGGACGCGGCCTCAGCATGGCCGGAGAAGCGGTGCGTCGGTGCGCGCCCGGGATCCAAACCCGGGCCGCCAGCAGTGAAGCGCGCGCACTTAACCGCTAAGCCATGGCGCCGGCCCAAGAGGGTGAATCTTAAATGCTTTGAAGGTTACATTCTTGTTTCAATGAAATTATGGACCAGACTAGGTATATATAATACATGTAAAACCACAACATCTATAAACCTCTATGATCATATAAATAGTAAAATTATGTTCAAAGTCATAAAATAGGCATAAATATACTGGGTATATTGATTATAAAATAGACACTAATGTATTATAGAACATACTTATATTAAAAATATACTATATCATAAATTTGACTCATTTTTAATATGCTAGTTGCACTAAACATATAATTAACATTAAATTTGTTTGACTTATAATTCCACGGTGCCTTTGAGGTATGCTTTGGATAGCCTATTTCTTGAAATTTCTCAATAACGCTGTTCAGGGAAGGTGGAACTATCATTTTGTTGTTGTTTTTCCGTGGAGGTATCTCTTGTAGTTAACCTAGGAAGTATTATTCCTCAGGGTTACTCTAAAGTTGGAATTGTTCTTTTCATCGCAGCATCTTTTTTTAATTTTTGGTGAGGAAGATTAGCCCTGAGCCAACATCTGCTGCCAATCCTCCTCCTTTTGCTGAGGAAGATTGGCCCTGGGCTAACATCCGTGCCCATCTTCCTCTACTTTATATGTGGGATGCCTGCTGCAACATGGCTTGAGAAGTGGTGCATAGGTCCACTCCTGGGATCCGAACCCGAGAACCCTGGACCACAGAAGCAGAGCATGCAGACTTAACCATTATGCCACTGGGCTGGCCCCTATTTTTTCTTTTTTTTTTTTTTAAGTGAGGAAGATTGGCTCAGAGCTAACATCTGTGCCCATCTTCCTCCATTTTGTATGTAGGATACTGCCATGGCATGGCTTGATGAGTGGTGTGTCGGTCCGTGCCTGGGATTTGAACCTGCGAACCCCGGGCCACCGAAGTGGGGCGTGCGAACTTAACCACTATGCTGGCCCTCATCTTTACGTTGTTAAAGACAGACTCTGTATGAATTGTGTGGATTCTGAGATTAGCTGTCTGTTGAGTCTGTTCCTCTTGTTCCTTTTTGTTGGCTCTCCATCTGACTTCCAACATCAGCTGTCATCCAGGTGTCGTTTTTTGACTGCCCCAAACTTCACCCACTTCCTATTTTCAGAGCCTCCTCCCACGTTGTGTCTTGTGGGGTGGGGGATGGTGGCACATGGGGTCAGGGAGGCAAGGTCCTCTTCCCACCACAGAGCCTGAGGTTGGGAGAGCCCCTCCCTGCTCCTTGATGGTCAGCTTGAGGGACAGGATCCAGGCTCTGCCAGGCTGACCCTCAGCCTGGGACTTAATCTCCAGGGACTGATGTAAAGATGCAGGGTCAGCCGATGAACAGTGCCCCCTGGTGTTCGGAGTACATGGAGCCTTGGCCTTGAGTGTTCTGGAGGCAGTGCCAGCAGCTCCATCCTGGAGCCATTCCTCCTGTTGCCCAGCCTTGCTGGGTTCCTGACTATTGTCCAAGCCCAGTTCCTCAGTCATCCTGTGGAGTGTGCATGCTAGCTGGCATCCTTCCAGCAACCTGCCTTTTGTTTAGGTTAGCCTGACCCAATTTCTGTGGCTTGCAGCTATCTGTGGAAGGAGTATTGGAGGGTGAAGCCTGGTACTGGCAGTGGCAAACACTTGCATGGGGCATGCAGCAGATGAATGATGCTGAGGTGCCTACACATGATTCTCAGCCATTGTTGGAGTGGTAACTTGGGGCATTTTTTATGGGAGCATCCTCATGTTCAGCTTTGTCAGGAGACTTGAGGTCCCAAGGTTCTTAGTGATGAGCTCTTTCAGGGTTCTCTCTCTCTCTCTCTCTCTCTCTCTCTCTCTCTCTCTCTCTCTCTCTCTCTCTCTCTCATTCATTCAGTGGTTACTAACTCATGACTATGTTACTGTGTTGACCCAGCTAACTTAAGTATCTGTATCATTCAGACACATTTAGATCCTGCCTGCTGATATGAACATCTAGGCCTGGATATTTAGATCTGGTCCACCTATCTAGAACTCACTTCTTTCCTTCTTTTGCTCACTTCTTCCCTTCTTTTGCTGAGCTCTCTTCCTGAACCCCTTTTTTCCCCTCTGGCATCTAGCCTCAGCTGGGGAACCCTGAGTGTAAATCACCAGTTCAGATCTTAACAAGAATGAGTAGAGGTCTCAATTTCTTTCCTCCCAGGAGGACCTGTGGTCCTTGTCACCTCAGAGAATTTTAAATGATAGGACTTAGATGACAATATTCCATTGTGTTGGATCTGTCATTTGGAACCTACAGTACATTTGATCCTTCCTTAACAGGTTGTTTTTCTTCTAAGTAAATGTAAACTTCCCAGTGTAGGTAACCTAATTCTGTAGTTGATGTTAGTTAGATGAATCAGTCCTTAAATAGCTTTATTTTTCTTTTAAAATTTTTTTGGTCAAGCATGCCTGATATTTAGTATGCTTGGTGTAAGGCAATTAGTAAGAAAATGCAGTTTATGTGCTGTTTTCATTTATGCTGAACAGATTAAAATTAACAATCTCTTCTTTTTTTCCTAGCGGATGAAGAATTTGATGAACTATGTTTTGAATTTGGTCTGGAACTTGACGAAATTGTATGTATTGGATATTTATTTTTCAAATATTTTGTGTATAGGCTTCTTTTTCAGAGGTTTACTGTATTTTATCTTTGTTACCTTATGGTTATCTTATGTTACCTTATGGTTGTGGGCCACATGATTTCTGTGTTCTCTGTGTTAAGGGGCTAAGCTTTGGTTTTAAGCGTGTCTGTCGCTTTGCTTAAAATCTCAAAATCTGGGCCGGCCCCGTGGCTTGGTGGTTAAGTGCGCGCGCTCCGATGCTGGTGGCCCGGGTTCGGATCCTGGGCGCGCACCGAGGCACCACTTCTCCGTCCATCCTGGGGCCGAGTCCCACATGCAGCAACTAGAAGGATGTGCAGCTATGACATACAACTATCTACTGGGGCTTTGGGGGGAAAAAATAAATAAAATCTTTAAAAAAAAAAAATAAAATAAAATCTCAAAATCTTAAAATCTCAAAAGGGGTTCATGCCTTACTCTGTATGCAGTCAACTCAGGTTATCAGGCTAGTGCTGTAGAGATGGATAGACCATCTCAGGTAACCCCAGAATGAGTGAGCTCCCCGCCAGTGAGGTGCCTTTTTGCACATTAGCTGTGGAAAGGGACCTGGGAAGCAGTGGGAACGTTGCTTCAACCAGAGTTGCTGTGTCTCCTTGCCTCTGGCTCCCCCGCCTTCACTTCCTCTGTGCCTATTTAACCAGCATTAATTCATTCTTTCATTGCTGTATACATTGGTCTTGTAAAGTGATCTCCTATTTTTTGAAGAATTACTTATAAAAATGATTATGATACATTGTCTTATTGAAGTCTTTTGATTGTATAATGATTAAAATATTTTGAAAATAGTTCTGTTTACAAAATATATTACTAATTGTGTATTAAAGACCCTGTCCTTAAAAAGATAATTTAATATTTCTCTGCTAATTAGTGTTATTTTTTCCTAAGCCTTTTATCTTCTTGATTTATTCAGTGTTTTATAACACTGGAAGGTTAAAATATCTTCAGGCTGACAAAAATGTACATTGTTTTGCCTTATTTTTCCTGCTGTTTCTTTACTAATGTTACAGAAAGATATTTTTTATATTAATGAGCATCTGTATGCTTGAGAAGTTGGCTGAGATTTCTGTGGTTTATGTTAAGTTGCTATTAATAATTTTATTAGACCTCAAAATTATGGTCGAGGCTGTGTGTTACCTAAGAGCATTGGACTGGATATCAGGAAATTTGAGTAATAGTTCGAGCTCCAACATTTACTAGCCATCTAACCATGGATTACTTTGCCTCCCTGGGCCTCATGTATTAGTCTCTCTGGGCCTCCTTTGCATCTGTGAAATAAGGGGTTTGGATTATATGATCCCTGTAGATTCCTCTTGGCTCTGAAATTTCTGTGGTCTTTGATTTCCATAAGATTTTTGTCAGCACTGACAAACCCAGTCTTCACATTATGGTCTTTGCATGAATTAACACACTGAAGATGAGAGAAGATTTAAGCTGCTGTGTCTTTTTTGCAAAGGAATTAGGCCATTGTTTAGTCAGATGCCTTCATTTCTCTGGTTATATATTATTTCCCCCTTTATATAGGCACCTCCTGAAATCCAACATCTCCTGTAAGGTGGCTCATCTTTCTTCACTAAAAAACACCGATTTTATTGACCTCCCTGATTGAACACTATTTTTTTTTTTTTGGTGAAGAAGATCAGCCCTGAGCTAACATCCATGCCCATCTTCCTCTGCTTTTTCATGTGGGACGCCACCACAGCATGGCCTGACAAGCAGTGCGTCGGTGTGCGCCCGGGATCTGAACCCGGGCCGCCAGCAGTGGAGTGCACGCACTTAACTGCTACGCCACGAGGCTGGCCCCTGAACGCTATTTAAATTCTAATTCTTCCTTCTCCTGCCTCTTCTCATGTCCCTCTCTCATCCCCCATCTCTTTTCTCTCCCCCTGCTTCCTCCTCCTTCTCCTCTTCTTCCTCTCTTCCTTCTTTTATATTTTCATTTTCTGTAATTTTTAAAATATGACTCCTAGTTTGAGATGCCTAGCATAGGTGTTTCTTGGAGCCCAACACAGCCTTGCTGAGTCCCAGCATTGTATGGACCTCTGTGGTTCCTCAAGTGTGACTTGGGCGCATAGTGCTTATCTGCCCAAAGTGAATTCCTCTGCATGCTGCGCAAGTGTAGATTATAATTCTTTATATGGACGATAATTTGAACTGCTCATATTGTGGTGGTGGGAGGGCATCATGTAAACAAATATCATTACATATTTTGATAGGAATCCATCCGTCATTTTAGCAGGTTATTGGTGGTGAAAATAGTGGGAGTTCTGGTTAAGTGGGGTTTCCACATAATTGATGGGTAACATTAACAATTGAGATATAACTTTTAAGCATTTTGCTTGAAAATTTTTTAAACATATTTACAGTTCCCTGCTGTAGTACACATAGGGAATAGAATTTAACTTCTTGGCAATGGTTATTGTTAAGAAAATCTGTTATTATTCTCTACTATAATGTGGTGATTGAGATATTCTAAGGTTTTTACCACCACATTAAAAATTATTCTAGTGGTGTTTCTTCTCTCTTCCCCCTCTTGGTAGACTTCATTCTTGCTGCTCTATACCTTTACTGTCACTAGATTGCTTCCCATTGTACCTAAATCCCTTCTGATTTACACCACAGCTTCTGATGGTCTCTTCAAATCTTATTGTTTGTTTTTTATGTTATTACTCTCCTTCTCATGTTGCTTCTAGGCTTGGGTACCCACAGGATTTAGCTTTTAGAATTATTGTCTTATAAGAAGTTGTATTTGTTTTATTTGGTGAATCATCTTTGCTTTGCCTTATTGACATTTTGTTGTTGCCCTATGTTCTTGGTTATGTTTTCATTTTCTTTTAGGTCAGGGGTGGGCAGACTTTTTCTGTAAAGTGCCAGATAGTAAGCTTTGTAGGCTGTGTAGTCTCGGTCACAACTCAGCTGCTGCAGTGTGTAAGGAACCATAGATAGTATGTAAACAAATGGGCCTGGCTGTCTTCCAGTCAAACTTTGTTTATAAAAGCAGGTGGCAGGCCTGATGTGGCCAGCCCTCGCTTTAGATGGGTTTGTGCTGTTCTGGAATGGCTGAGGATGCTAGATGTCTGAACTCAGCAGAAGTTGGAGTATTTTCTGTCAGCTTTGATTATAACATTTAATATTTTCATATTTTTGTTACGGATATAATAAACCCATGTTTTGTTGCAAAAAAACATGTATAATGTAGTTACTGCTTTTTAGGACTGACAACTACTTTTTTAAAAGGATTTATATTTATTTAGTTTTATCTTTTGGGCTTGTTTTAGACTTCTGAGAAGGAAATTATAAGTAAGGAACAAGGTAATAAAAAGGCAGAGGGGGCCTCTGATGTTGTTCTTTACAAAATTGACGTCCCTGCCAATAGATATGATCTCCTGTGTCTGGAAGGATTGGTTCGAGGACTTCAAGTCTTCAAAGAAAGGTAAGGGAATATAGTCATTAAATATTTTGCTAAGATGAATTTCTTTTCCTTGCCTGTCATTATCAGCAACACTGTTTAGGTTTCTAGAAAAAAACTTGTTGGACAGGTACATAGCTTTAGGTCTGCATAGAGGGATGATAGGAAGGTGAGATTCATGTAGATTGTAGTCATTTGAAAATTAGCCTAAATATTGAGGCATAGCCTTTCATTTTAAGAGCATGTTTTAAAACTGGAGTGGTTAATGAGTTTATGGCTTCTTAAAAAATTCTTAAAAAGTTCATATAAGTTCCCTTAGTAATCCAATTGGAATAGATGGTTGATTGGATTTGTTAAAGGTTGGGAGGAAAGTGGAACTGACATAACTTTATATGCTGCTTTCTTAAGAATTCTAACGGAGGGTCGGGAGTGGAGCTTCCTAACTGGAAAACTGAAGGTCTTGTGAGGGCTGTATGATCTTGGGCAAGTTACTTGGCCTCTGTAGTTTCAGTCATAGCCTCTTGTACATAAGGAAGAAGATTTTTAAGTCCTCTTGCAACTCTTCATGTAGTAAATATAGAAGGTAATGAATATGTTAAAGTGAAAAAGAGGTAAAACAACAACAGCTGTCAAAAATAATTATTTTTGATTTTGATTGCTTATACATTATTTGGTTGGTTGCAAAAGAGTAAGAGCCTCTGGCTGATGGACTAGACTCTGAAACTATGAAGAGTGATGGGTGTTGGTGAAAGGGTGATGATTAGGTATTTGGTTAAGCTGGCCAAAATTTGGGAGTTGACCCAGTTGGTTCCCTGCACAGCAATCAAATGCTTATATTTTAGGGTCAGGGATAATCTCTTAGGGTGTGGTTCCCAAACCTACCTGATTAGAATTTCTGTTTTTAACAGGCACCTCATGTGATTTTTATGATTAGAAAGAATTAGGAAAGTGACTTAAAACCTTTGCTACTCAAAGTATGGTCCACGGACCAGCAGCATCTGCACCACCTGGGAGCTTGTTAGAAGTACAGAATCTCCGACTCTACCCAAGACCTGTTGAATCAGAATCTGTGGTTTTACAAATTCCACAGTTGATTGTAAGCACACTGAGGTTTGAGAAGCACTGACTTAAAACAGTAGTTCCCAACCTCTCCTGGTACGAATTACCTGGACTGTGCCTTCAAAATGTGCCATTTACCAGGCCTTTCCCTTGAATATCCTGATTCACTAGGTCCAGATGGGATCAGGCAATCTGTATTTTTAGTAAACTCTGTTTTTCTTAGATGCTCAGAATCTCATGGTTGGAATAAAATGTAAAGATTATCTAATCCAGCCCCTCGGCTGATGTTGAAATGCCCCCTGTATACTGTATACAGTTGCTTAGTTAATGGTTTTCTAGCTGAGACTCCAGTGATAGGAAACTCATAACCATGAGGCATCCTCTACCATTTTGGGGCAACTTTAAATGTTATAAAGTTTGTTTTTTTCAATATTCAGCCAAAATTTGATTTGCTGTAACTTCAACTCATTGTCCTAGTTCTGTTCATTTTGTATATTTTCTATACACAGTATAGGATATATTAATGTATATGATACATAGTTTACATAGGATATATTAGTTTATCAAATGTTTTGGTTAATAATGAGCAAATTTGTTTTAATATTATTTTAGGATAAAGGCTCCAGTATATAAACGGTTAATGCCTAATGGAGAAATACAGAAATTGATCATCACAGAAGAGGTAAAAGGATAAATTCTTATTTTCCTTTTTAAAAAAAATCTCTTTTGTGTATGTATCTATAAGGTCGGGAGGAAAAAGGATCAAAGCCGACCTTTCTGCCAAAAGTACTTTTCTTGGTTCATTTGATAAAATGGATGTATATTGAGCCTTTAGCTCTAAAAAATTGTGGATTTGTTTTTACCAAGAAATGAAAGGAAATAAAGCATCTATTTTCCATTAATAATTTTGGAAAATAACATACAAGTGTTTATTTAAAATACATTTGAGATAAAATTGTTTAAATTGTGGTATATTAATAAAATTTAGAAGGAGACACCTTTGGGGGGGGTTATTTTGGTAAAAATACCAACCATGAGCAAACTATTTAAAGATTAATTTTTTCTCAATTATTTAATAAATTTTCAGAAATCTTACTGAAATGTAAATTCCATGAGGATGGTGACTTTGTCTCTTGTCACCACTATATTTTATTACTTGTTGATTGAATGAATATATACTTGTTTGAATGAGAATATGTGACTGTGTCAAGAGTGCAGCTAACTTTCTATTACAAGATGTCATTACATAGAAAAGCCTTAATATTTACCATCTCTAATGGTGTAATGAATTTCAGACAGCTAAGATACGCCCTTATGCTGTAGCAGCAGTTCTCCGAAATGTCAAGTTTACTAAAGATCGATATGACAGCTTCATTGAACTTCAGGAGAAGTTACATCAGAACATTTGCAGGTTTGTGGTTGCATCTTCTTTCCTCCTTGCCTTCCCTTCTCCTCTCCTTTTTCCCTCTCTTCTCTTCTACCTTCATCCCTCCTTCCTTGCTTCTTCCTCTGCAGATGCTTTTCAAAGGATTTCTAAATTAATAATATGAGTGAGAGTAATAGAAATTTAAATTTGCTTTACCAGATAGCTATTTGTTATTTATGCCTGGAGAAATGGGAGATATATTTTGAATACTATATAGAGAAGAAATATTTAGTCCTAGAGATTTTCTTAGTTGTTTTTTTTTTGGTTCAAATCATTAGTAGTAGACTGTACTACTAAATATCAAACCATGGCAATTTGAGTATGACCTATCATTTTAAAAATGGAGAAAAAAATCTGGCTCAATCTCACTTTTTGAGTGAGTATAATTATAAATTGACAGATAAAACTTGAGACTTTTAAATGACTGAATTTTCTCATTCTACCTTTGACATTACTTACACATTTCCCATACAGCTCTCTTTAGTGCAGTGATCTTCAAACTTGCATAGTTCCTGAACTCCTAAAGGTCAAGGAAGGTAGCAGTGGGAATCCTTTGGACTAATTTCAGTATTTAAAAAATCCTAATGGACATTATATATTTACTGATGGTAGGAAACATCAGGCTTTAGCTAACATATTAACTTTTTTGTGTTGTTCCTGAAATATATCAACATAAGTTATCGCATGCTGTTCAAAAGCTATGAGTAACAGTTATATATGTCTTGAATAAAAATAGAAAATAGAATTTTTATTTTTTAATAATTGCAGTAGTTGCAGTCTGGTAAACTGGAGACTAGAAGAGCCTTGTTTGTAAGGGATGGGCTAGGGACAGGGTTGAGGGAGGACCATGGATGTTTTTTTCTGGGGTGAAAAATGTTTAAAAATGAAACACCTGTAGTTAAGCTCACAAGGTCTCTTTTTCCTGAAACATCTTTGCTCATGTGGTAAAAGAAACTTTTTTTTCAGATTCCAAATAACATTTATTCCCACTGTTATAGAAATAATCTTTGTTATCTTGCTAATATGTTGTTACACAAAACAATAAGAATTTTAATACAAGTTCAAAATAACAAGATATAAGATTTCTGACAAGCATAGGTATAGCTAGTAAGTGGTTGACCCAGATTATTTGTTCTGGGCATACTTTATTTGAAGAATCTATTTTTATCTAAATCAGAAGGCATTTGCTCACTTAATTCAACTTTAAGCTCTGTTTTATTTGGTCTGTTTGGAAATTATGAGCTTTTACTAAGGGAGGAATAAATCACATCCTAATACTCTAGTGTGCCATTCCTTACCTGTCAGTAAATCATAATTAACCTCTTGAGTGAGCTTTGGAAATTTGCGTTTTTCATGGAATAGATTCATTTCGTCTGAGTTATCAAATTTATTGGCATAAGTTGTTCACAGTGTTCCCTTATCCTTCCAATACTGTGGTGTCTATAGTGATAACACCTTTTTCATTCCTGTGTCTTTTCTCCCTTGATCAGTGTGGCTAGAGGTTCAGTTGTATTGATCTTCTCCAAGAACCCGTTTTTGGTTTCATTGAGTTTTCTCTCTCTTTTTCCCCTCTGTTTTTCTGTTTTTCATTGATGAGGCAGTGTTCTGTGTAGAGCTAATTAGTCCCTACCACTGAAGCATGACCCTCTGCCTACTTTGTCCATTGCCATACGAACAGTGAGGTTTTAAGTCGGGGCGAACGCTGTTCCCTCTATTTCCCTCGGATGGTTCTTTCCGAGGCCTCGGGTAGTGTCCTCACACGAATGCGCTGATCATTCCTGAGCTGAATACCTGAGGGAGACCCTCTGCGGATCTCCAGCGCTTGCTCTCTTTATACCTCTCTCCTCTCCAGGACTTGTTAATTTATCTAACCTTATTGAACCAGGTATATTTTAACCATGGTAGTTCTGGGGTTATTATCTTCCATAAGCCTGTAACTCACCGAGTAAAGTAATACCTCCTTTTTGCTTGTCAACAGTTCTTTTCAGTTCAACCCTGTTTGTTAAAGTTCTAGTCACCAGTCTTGGAGATTGACCAAGATTTATTTCTTACAAATTTTAAAAACTATTTCATGGTTCGTGTAATATGGACTTTAATAAAATCCTTGATTACTAGTGCGTTTTATCTCTTCCGTATGTATATGTGGTTATGCATATACATACAGAAGAGTTATGCATAAATACTCAAATATATGTGAACATACATCTAAAACCAATTTTAAGAAATCTTAAGAATACCATAAATTCTGACCAAGTTTCTCTTTTGAATTTTCTGTTACCTTAGCGCCTTATTTGTGACTCTCCTTGATAAGACTGTAGACCTTTAGATTCTCATTTACTATTAATATCATTCCTGGCTCTGTTTTATGTCCCTACTTCTATTTCTTTCCCTCCTAATTTGTAACTTGCTATAAGTTTCTAAAATTACCTTAAATCTTTTGCAGATAAACTATAGAAAAAATGAAATTAGTAGCTTTTGAACTTTCCTTATACATTAAACTTTAAATGTAATTAACAGTCCTTAAAAGTAAATTTTTTCCATTATTACGGTAATACAGCTGTGACAAATTTAGAAAAAGATAGGAAAGCCAAAAAACACAGCAATTTGGTAGTTTATTCTAATTTAATAAAACATATTTACTTGAGAACACTAAGAGGAAATAGGTTAAAAGAAGGTAAAGGGAATGTTGACCTTGAAAATGTCTTAGTAACTTAGTACTTGGGAAAGCGTAGTGGAAGGAATTTGCTTCAGCTACTGAAATAATGTGTTTTAAGTAGCTTTATAATTTTTTATTACTTTTTTTTTTTAATTAATTTATTTATTTTTCCCCCAAAGCCCCAGTAGATAGTTGTATGTCATAGCTGCACATCCTTCTAGTTGCTGTATGTGGGACGCGGCCTCAGCATGGCCAGAGAAGCGGTGCGTCGGTGTGCACCCGGGATCCGAACCCGGGCCGCCAGCAGCGGAGCGCGTGCACTTAACCACTAAGCCATGGAGCCAGCCCTTTTATTACTTTTAATGATTGTGAGAATTTGTTCATTATATTTCTCTAAAGTTGCCATACAGCAACAGGCTATTTTAGGGAAGTGTCTAAAAATAATTTTTTAAAACATACAGTCTATGTTATCCTTAGAATTTCTGCTTTGGAATATTCAAATCTCTTTTTCTGTCTCTCTGTCCTCCTCTCTCCCAACATTTAGGAAAAGAGCTTTGGTTGCAATTGGTACCCATGATTTGGATACTTTGTCAGGCCCATTTACTTATACTGCAAAGCGACCTTCAGATATCAAATTCAAGCCTCTAAGTAAGACCAAGGAGTATACAGCCTGTGAACTGATGAACATATACAAGGCAAGTGTTCTTTTATATTATGCAGTAGCTCTGCGTAAATCATGAAATTCCTTCAAAGTCAAGTCTTGGAAGTAGGGAAATGTAATGAGTGCTTTTTTTCTGTGTGTGTGAGGAAGATCGGCCCTGAGCTAACATCCAATGCCAGTCCTCTTCTTTTTTTCTTTTTCTTTTTCTTTCTTTTTTCTTTTTCTTTTTTTTTTTTTTTTGCTGAGGAAGATTGGCCCTGGGCTAACATCCGTGCCCATCTTCCTCTACTTTCTATGGGACGCCGCCACAGCACGGCTTGACAAGTGGTGCGTCACTGCAAGCCAGGGATCCAAACCTGCGAACCCCGGGCCACCAAAGTGAAGCACACGCACTTAACCGCTGTGCCACCAGGGTGGCCCCATAATGAGTGCTTTTTAAAAAAATAACCGTGGCTGGGCTCCAACCAAAAGCTACTGATTCATTTGATCTAGAGTGGGGCCTGGGCATAGTTTTGTTTTATTATTACTTTTTTAACCTCTTGGATGATTTTAATGTACAGCTGGGATTGAGAACCACTGAAGTAGACCATGCCAAATTGCAATATTCATATTTGAGTATAATTAAAACTCATGAAAGTATAAGGAACAATAAGACTTAGCTAGTTTTTTTGTGGGAAACTGTATTACAAAGTGTCTACCTCCCATTATTAGCATTTTAGATTCCAGTTGTGAAGATGAATTCAGTAGTCACTTTATTTTTTTATTTTTATTTTTTGTGAGGAAGATTGGCCCTGAGCTAATATCCGTGCCCATCTTCCTCCACTTTATATGGGATGCTGCCACGGCATGACTTGACAAGCAGTGCATCAGTGCGCGCCCGGGATCCGAACCCCACGCCACCAAAGCAGAGCTCGCGAACCTAACCACTGTGCCACTGGGCTGGCCCCAATAGTCACTTTAAATTGCACTTAACAAATAGTAGAAGTAGGGAGTGTCATTCAGAAAAAGCTCTTGTCCTTGCCCTGATTTTACCAGTGATTTTTTCCTATTTATGTAAATAGTTTTGTGATGGTTTTTGTTTTGTTTGAGATTATACAGGCTTACCAGTGCAAATCTATTTTCATTCTGGAAAAATGATTCAGTTATGTTCTCATCTCTCCCCAGTAGGTGATGAGGCTGTATAAGGATGTTGAGATATTAATTTATATTAGAAAACCTTATGCATTTAGAACTTTGTGTAATTTGGGGCTGTTTTATTGTTTTTCTGACTCTTTTCCTTTTTTATGCTAGGTAGGTATATAAACTAATTACAGTGATGGAAATAAAAAACTAATTTTGTTTGACTTAATTTTTTTCAGACTGACAACCACCTTAAACATTATTTACATATCATTGAAAATAAACCCCTGTACCCAGTTATCTACGATAGCAATGGTGTCGTCCTTTCCATGCCTCCGATCATCAATGGTGAGTTATTTCTTAAGCATCATAGATTTTTTGCTGTTTTCTGCTATTCTTCAGCATTTCTGTAGAGTTCTCAATAGACTTGGCTGAAGCAAATAACTCTTAATCTGATCATCTCAGGTCTTGTGTAGATTTTATTGTAATAGTTCTTTTCAATTCATTTATTCAATGACGTTTTACTGATAATTTTTATATAACTTATAAATGTATAAAGATTTATAAGTTTATAAATATTTTCCAGTGCCAGGCTCTGGATTCTGTTATCTTCCTCCAAAGGGTCTTGATATCTTGATTTTAGCAGGTAATTCACTTGGTTAAACTCAAAATTAAAGTCAAATTCTGTCTTGCCTGCTGTTTTATAGTTAAATTAAAACTTTTAAACTGAATTTTACTGTGTTAATTCCTCTCTGAAGGCTTTTTTGATGAGGCAACTTGAATGTATTTACAAACTTTAATGACGTCAAAGCCATAGATGTTTGCTTTTCTGGAGGCGAGAAGCGGGGTTTAGTTGATTCGCAATGGGAAGGAGAGTCTTTTCCTCCTGAGACCTTGGACTAGAGTACAGTCATGTGCCACATAATGACCTTTTGTTTAATGATGGACCACATATGCCATGATGGTCCCATAAGATTAGTACGATTTAGCCTACGTGTGTAGTAGGCTATACCATGTAAGTTTGTGTGGGTACCCTCTGTGATGTTCATGCAACAACAAAATCGCCTAATGATGCACTTTTCAGAATGTATCCCAATGTTAAGCGATGCATGACTGTAGTTAAAGTGGTTAAGAACCTGGACTTCAGAGTTAGCCAAATCGAGACCCAAATCTTAGCCTTGCTGCTGAATAGCTCCTGATTGTGGTCAGTGAGCTTAATCTCTGAATCTTAGTTGTCCCGCCTGTAACTCCATCATAGGGTTGTGGTGAAGATGAGCTGAGACAACCCGTGTTAAGTGCTTGACATAGCACCTGATGCATTGAATGTACTCAGTAAAGGCTTGTTATTTCATCTTTATTCTCCAGCTTGCAATGGGGGCTTAATCTAAAAGCCATATATCCCCTTCCCTCTGAGGTGTCAGTTTATATTGTGTTCTAAATTAAAATGTTTCTGTTTTGTAGAGCTTTTTGGTGCACCTATATTTCTGAAACTGATTGTTTTGTCATTATTTTGTGTTCGTTGCAGGAAATCATTCCAAAATAACAGTAAATACTAGAAATATATTTATTGAATGCACAGGAACTGACTTTACTAAGGTAAAGAGAACTTTTATTCTATTTTTGTACTGTCAGACAGGATAGATATTATTTCTGGTCCAAGACTAAATAGCTAAACTTTAAAATATGTTTATTTTGTAGGTGGAAATATATTTTAGAAATTTATGAAGATGTAGATATTCTGTACTTTGGTTATGGTGCTTTCATTCCATCGAGAAATGTTTAATGAGCACTTACGGTCTTTCCAGTGCCTTGACTTTAATAACAAGTTACTTATTTCTTGACTTCAAGGAACTTGTAGTCTAGTGGGAAAATTAGCCATATGCATAACTTTAAAACAGAATGGGATAAGTATTGTAATGAGGTCTGCATAAATTGTTTATCTTAGTAGGTTTAATTTAAATGCGTAATTTGGTAACTTTGTGTACTTGGTAAAAATTTTTTTTAAAACGAACTGGGTATAAAGAAGTTTTATTGATAAAGAGTTTATGCACATAATGATATCCAGAATATGTAGAATAGTAGTTGTTCCCTCACTCTTAGTCACTACATGTATTGGATTGGATTGCTGTGAAAGCTTTTCTCTATGGCATATGATTTCTTTATGCCTGTTAAGTAAGGCGTGGAGTGAGCTGGCAGTTAAGCAGATGAAGACAGGGAAACCTGAGTGGAGGAGAAGGCTGGAGTACAGACGCAGGGCAGATAAATGGCGTTCACACACATCTTACAAGATGGGAGATCATTATAACGTGTTTCATTTACAACTTTTATGTGCCATGTTTGCCTTCAGAAATAGTGTCAAAGTAATATAATATAGCTTTTACTATTTAAAAAATTTTAATTTGTACATTAGCAGACCTTGACTATCTTTCCTGAAGCTTATATATAAAGAGTGAAGTATATATAAAAGCAAAGCATATATACCAAGAAGATTACTGTATTTGTTCCTAAGCATATGTTTTTTCAATTAAAATAGTTAAATCTCTGTGGCCCTCACTATGTGCCAGACATTACTTTACATGTTACATATACTGTATACTATATATATATACACACAGACACACACACGCACACATTTAATTCTCATAATAACCAAATGAGGTGGGAACTTTTATTGTCTCCATTTAGCGAATGAAGAAACTAAGGTATAAAGACTGTAAGTAACTTGCCCAGAGTCAGACTGCTGGTAAGTGGTTGAGCCAGGAGTCGGGTGTCTGGCTGCAGAGACTTAAGAGATTGGTAAGGTTTACTTGTGTAGTTAGCCATTTGTCTCTCTTGAAACTTGGTGGACCCAAAGGAGGGGGCGGGGAAGTAACTGATTTGTCTCAGTCATGGATGTAACTCTCAGAACTGCATAAATGCAGAACACGTGAAGATAAGGACAGGCCTACTTTAGCTCATAAGTTTTTATTCCACTTCCTTTTTTAGAATGCATATATAAAGGTCCATTTTTAGATGTTGGGGACTAAATTATATTAAATATTCATTTCCATCTGAGTGAAGAGAGAGTATATTTGTAGGTTGCCATAATATTTGTTTTTTTCCTTTGTAGGCAAAAATCGTTCTTGATATTATTGTCACCATGTTCAGTGAATATTGTGAGAATCAGTTTACGTAAGTTCGTTGGGCACATTTGTTGTTCTGAAGGCAGAGCACTAAGGCCTCGTGCTAAACATAAAATGAAAAATATGGTTCCTGTAACTTGAACGTATCTTTGGGGAGCTAAGACATATGCATAAATAATGTATAAAATAAAAAGATAAGTACTTTAAAAAGTTTCAGTGATGTTCTGGCTGTTTGTAATGGCAAGTTACTGCCAGCTGAGACAATCTAGGCAGGCCACATGGAGGCAGTGAAATTTAAGCTATGTTTAAGAATTATTGGATTTGAGAATGTAAACATGGAGGAACAGTAAAAGGAACAGCTAAACAGAGGTAGAGAAGCATATATAAGAGCAAAGCATATATCCCTTATATATCAAAAAACTACTACATTTTTTTCCGAAGTCTTTTTTTTTGGTGAGGAAGATTGGCCCTGAGCTGACATCTGTTGCCAATCTTCCTCTTTTTGCTTGAGAAAGATTGTCACTGAGCTAACATCTATGGCCATCTTCCTCTATTTTGTATGTGGGACGCTGCCACAGCGTGGCCTGATGAGCAGAGTGTGGGTCTGCGCCAGGGATCCGAACCTGTGAACCCGGGCTGCCAAAGCGGAGTGCGTGAACTTATCCACTACACCACTGTGCTGGCCCCAGCAAAGCTTATTTTTTAATTAAAAAAAAAATTGCTTAAACTATATGGCCCTTACTGTGTAGTACCAGCATTATTGTTTATTCTAGAGTATTAATTATAATTCAAAATAAATGTATAGGCCGGCCCCGTGGCTTAGCGGTTAAGTGCGCGCTCTGCTACTGGCGGCCCGGGGTTCGGATCCCAGGCGCGCACTGATGCACCGCTTCTCCGGCCATGCTGAGGCCGCGTCCCACATACAGCAACTAGAGGGATGTGCAGCTGTGACGTACAACTATCTACTGGGGCTTTGGGGAGAAAACAACAACAACAACAACAAAATCAATGTATAACTGTAGAAAGCATGACTGAAATTGTGTGGACAGTATCAGTCTTTTTTTTGTGAGTTGACTTGCATTTTACTGATTGTGTCAGCCAGCTTTTGTTGTGTAACACACCACGCTGGTAAAGCCTGGCATGTGTGTGTCAGTGTTGGCAGGGAGTCCACAGCGGACACGTGCTTTGCAGTACTGGTAAATAAACTCTTCAGTTGAGTTTAGTGGGCGCTGCCTGAAGAGATGTGCGGGCTGTAGGAAACGGAATAGTAGAGTAATGTCTATAGGATGTATATTCATTCACGCAGTGGTATTGGACTGTGAGTAGACTGAATGTGCTATGGCTGCAGTTGTAGACGAAGAGAAAGATTTGTTAACCATACACATTTCTAGGATTTATGGCCCTTTTTTTTCTTAAGTATTTTATTTCTGCCTTTTTTTTTTTTTTTTTTTCCCTTAGGGTTGAAGCAGCTGAGGTAGTTTTTCCTAATGGAAAATCATATACCTTTCCGGTAAGTATTTAAGAAGTGACTATGATGATGATGATGACAGTAATAATGATGGCTATAGAGTGCTTGTCGTCTATCTGTCCGTCCATCCATCCACGTACCCACATGCCAGGCACTATACTGTGTACATAACATGGATTTAATCCTTACCTTAACCCTATGAGGGTGGGTGCTATTATTATGCCCTTTTCCAGAAGAAGACCTGGAGACCTTGAGATGTTAAATAAATTGCCTATTACTATTAAGTGGTGGGGCTAGGATTTAAGCCCAGACAGTCCGACTTCAGCTCCCAACACGCTACATTATACCACAGCATTATATGGCCATAATTCCTGTGATTTATTCTTATTATCTAGTTAACTGGGTAATTTATAGTCTTACTCCTTTTAAGATTACTCAGTCCTCCAAACCTAATTAGTGTATTCACACTTGAATTAACAATTGCCGAAGGTCATCACTGTAACTAATAGATAATTCCAGATGTATTAACAGGACTAATTTAGTAGTAAGCACAGTTATTGTGAAGACACAGGATCTTGGTAAAAAATCTAAACTAGCATTATTCTTAGTTCACTGGGCTTTTCTCCCAAGGTGGCTTTATAAATATAAAAATGGCCATTCTGACACATGACAGTATCTCAGTCATTTAGTTGTGGTTCTGATTCAGTGAGGCATTCTTTGATGGGCTCTTTTTCTTTATATTTTTCACTATCCCTCTATCATTTATGAAATGAATTAAAGCCTGGAATAGTTGCTACTATTTAAATAGCTTTTTAAAGTAGTTAAAAAACCTGCCAGGATCAAAACTTCCCCTCCTTGAAAACATTAGCATTTAGAATCATATTTTGTTCCAGAGTATTACTTATAATTTAAAATAAATGTGTAACTGTAGAAAGCATGACTGAAATTATGGGCAGTGTCAGTTTTTTAAGTTGATTTTAGTGGCTATTATCAGTTAGTATTTGTTATGTGACAAACTACTCCAAGACTTAGTGGCTTAAAACAACAACCATTTGTTTGTCTCCTGATTCTGTTGGTCACCTGGGAAATTCTTCTGGTCTGGGCTGGCTTGGCTAATCTCTGCTGGGCTCACTCGTGTGTAGTCAGCTGGTTGGTGGCCAGAAGCTGGATGACCTGGGATGGCCTCACTCACATGTCTACTTGGCTGTGGGGACAAGTGTCTCTCATCACCCAGCAGGCTGGCTTGGGCTTCTTTACCTGGTGGTTGCAGGGTTCCCAACAGCAGGAGAGCAAGTCCAGTGCTCAAGTGCTTTTAAGCATGATGTCTTGTTGGCCAAAGCCAGTCATTTTGCTGATTCAAGAGTTGGGGAAGAAATAGACTCCATTTCCTGATGGGAGGACCTGCAGTGTCACATTGCAAGGCTGTGGATGCAGAGAGGAAGGATTTGTGGCCATTCATAGTTTACCACAGTAGTAGTTGGGGTTAGCCAGAAATAGCTTTTTAGTTTGTTTTAAAATAATGTCGATTTGAGAAAAGTTTCTTTTTCTTTTTAATATGAAGAATTGTCAAGTGTTAATAAGAGTGAAATATGTACTTTTGGGAAGAAAATTTATATCTTAAAATTTGGTTCACTTTTCTCTTTATGCAGATGATTCCTTGAAATCATTAAAGAGCTTTCATAAATTTGAAATGGTGGGCTTTCTGAAAAGGAGTACTACACCGGTGTTTTCATCATTTGTTCATTTATTTCCTTCTAAACTTAGAATAGAACAGCTCTTCTCAGATTGTCCTCCCAGAAGAGAATGATCCTTCCTACTCTGGGGGAAATTGATTTTTCCTTACATGAAATAGCATATTTTTCCAGACACTTTGAAAGTTCTTTCCTAGTCTTCTGTTATTTCCTATAAAAGAACAGAGTTTGGCGTAAGAGGGCTAGAGAAGATAATAAGTGGCAGGTGGTCAGAGAGCCTGATGGTTAACGGAGTAAGCTTTGGAATTAGGCTGCCTGAACTTGTTTATTAATTCATTAATTCATTAGTTTGTTAATTCATGCATGCATGCATTTATTCATTAACTGTATACCAAGTGCTTATTGTCTGACAAGCGTTTTTCTCAGCACTGGGAATACAGCAACACCAGGGCTCAGCTTACGCTCACCTTACCATTGTGATCTGGGACTAGTTATTAATCTAAAACTCAGATTCCTGTCTATAAAATGAGAATCCTAATAGTAGCCGTTGTGAGGGTTAAGATTCTCTTAAAAGTATGTCTTAGACTGTTTAGCTCATATCAACTGTTCAGTAAAGGTTTGTTATTACTATTGCAATCATTAGCATCTAGTTCAGTGCTTCTCAGACTAATGTGCATTCACATCACCTGGGGATCTTGATGACATTCACATTCGGATTCAGCAGGTCTGGTGTAACTGCACTAGCTATAAGAGCCTGAGAGTCTGCATTTCTAGAAAGCACTCAGGTGCTAATGATGCTTCTGCTCTGAGAACTGCATTTTGCATAGCAAGGTTCTGGCCCCTTGTCCTTACCTGAGTCCAAACAGGTTTTATGGCCTTTTTGCTAGTGGCAGTTATACTTCTGAGAGTAATTTGAGGTTAAGAAATATTCATAGATATGTTTCCAAAGGTGCTGAAAAGCCTGGATTTCAGCTTTTCCAGAAAAATGATAAGAAAGAAATGTCTTTATAACACTCTTAGACTTAGTATGATGGGTAGTACATTGTGACACTTGAATATTATTCTTTCTTGATCATAAACACCTGCTTGCATGAGATGAGACTGAAAATCTTCAGGGTTGATAAGCATTTTAGAAATGAGGTAATACACCAGTGTTTGACAGAGAGAATGGTGATTGACCATTGAAAAGAGAAAAATATTTGGCATTTTATATTGTTTCCAAGCAGTTCCATTTGTCTAGCAAGTAGAATGTTCATATATGAATATAATGTAGCAAACTTATTCATCTATAATAATGTTTTGAAACACCACGTTTATTTTCAATGTCTGGCTCTAGTGACAGTTTCTTGGGAGGGTAATGAAACTACAATGAGTTGAATTAGAAAGAGGCTAACACTGTATCTGATGGGGGATGATTTAAGCTTCTCAAACGTTTTCTTTAAGGAACTGGCTTACCGAAAGGAGATGGTGAGGGCTGATCTAATTAACAAAAAAGTTGGAATCAGGTATGGTCTGAAAACTTCATTTATTTATTTACTGTTGGAGAGAATTCAAGAGTGAAGTGCACACAAGACTATGTAACTTTTTCTGAAAGAATGCTTGGAGAGGGTTTTGATATCCTCTCAGCAAGTGAAGTGATGGTGGAACATCAGTTAGGATGTCTGGTGTTGAATGGAATTCAAAGAGAAAGATGACTATTTCAGGTAGTAGCATGTTTTAAAATAAAATAAAAACACGTTTTAAATAAACCAGTGAAGTTTATGGTTTGTACATTCCTATTTCAGAGAAAGTCCAGAAAATCTTGCCAAGCTTCTGACCAGGATGTGTTTAAAGTCAGAAGTCATCGGTGATGGGAATCAGATTGAGATTGAAATCCCTCCAACCAGAGCTGACATTATCCATGCATGTGATATTGTAGAAGATGCAGCAATTGCTTATGGGTATAACAACATTCAGATGACTCTACCGAAAACATACACCATAGCTAATCAAGTAAGATTGCACCCTTAAGTAAACACTCCTTATTGTTAGAAACTGATTATTGACTGCCAGGAAGGTTTCGAGAAAAACAGAACATAGGAATTAAGCAGTATTTGGACATGCTCTGCTATGGGAGGCATTTGCTATGGAGAGGATACAAAACAGATGTCCAACTGATTAGAGTAAGTTGAAAACCTGTGATGATTAGTTCTTTGAAGAAAGACAGGTTTCGAGTTTGGAGCCCTTGGTGAGTATTTAACTGGGAGATTCATTTTCTCACCCTGGGCCCGAAGGCAGAAGCTGTGTGGGAGAGGTGGAAGGGGGGTTTGTACGTTTGTGTAGGAGTGCTGGGGTGGTGAGGTGGGCGGAGGGAGTAGTAGGGAGTGGGAGATGGTGGTATTAGCAGTACTTTATTAGTAAGGATAGAAGGGTGGTTTCCTTTAATGACATGTTCTGTATGAATCTCTTTTTTAAAAAAAAATAGGAAATTTTATTGAGGTGAAATAAAGTAAATATTTTTTTTCCAGTTTCCTCTTAATAAGCTTACAGAACTTCTCAGACATGACATGGCAGCTGCTGGATTCACTGAAGCACTTACTTTTGCTCTGGTATGTTTTCATTTACCTGATTAGCTGATTATTTGCTTTGAATCTCTGAATTATTGATTCCTTATAGGAATTTATAAAATCTAGACTGCTAAAATTTCCAGGTTCCAGAATGACTTTGTTCCTTGAGATTGTACAATTTCTGGTGAAGAAATGTTGAAGATTTCTTTTTTTGAGTCACAGAAAAACATGAAGGACAAAAATAGTGTCTTAAATGACAGATGACAATGTATTTTATAGTTTCATTAAGTGTTGAGAGATCACAGCGAATTTCATAACCAAATTTATTATGTTAGAACTTTTAGTCTTAATTTGGTTATGGCTGTGCCCACTAGATGCCGCCCTGGTTAAGGGCTTGTGGACTGTTCCACATTAAACTTATTTCTTTGTCTTTGAACATGTTCACAAACATTTGCTTTGAGTTGAAAAGCTGACATAAAAGGCCTAAATCAGGAAATGAATTTTATTAGAAAATCAGAAGGAAATCCCCCTCCCCCACCAGACTGACCATTTGAAAAGAATAAAATGTATATGCAATTCGTAGTTCCCTTTTCTCTCTTGCCCGGTGTTTCTCTGGTGCCTATAGTGTAGTTCTTGAGTATTCAAGTAAGTTGCAGCTCAGTGATGTAGGACAAAACACAAAACAAAACAAACAAAAACAACTAAAAAATCTACTTCTTTTTCTCCCTCCAACTCAACTCTGGCCCTAAAATTCTCAAATCTGATAGAGTATTTACAGAAGGCAGTAGTGGGAATTACTACCAGTACACAAACGGTTGTTAAGGGGATGCAGCAATTCTCACGTCACTTTACCGTGCATTTGTAATTCATAGGATATCAACCTCAGAAGGGACCTTACAGATCTAGTTGAACATCTTCATTTTTATGACTTAGAAATCATTTGTTCAACATTTATGGAGTATCTATTGTATACTAGGCATTTACCAGTGAGTACCGATGTACCAACTGTACCTGAGGCTGAGAGAGGACAATTAGCTAGCAAAGGTGACACAGCCAGCAGGAGAACCATGAGCAGAATCCTGGCCTTTTGACTTCTAGAGCAGTGCTTTTCTTTTGTCTCATCCTATGTATGCTAGGTTGCTAGTGCCATGTCATTCATATATGTATACACACATACATATACATACACAGTCGTGAACATCAACGATTTCATGTGAAATGGAATACAAAAAGTAGCATGAGACATGTATTTCCTTTTTTTAAATTATATTAAGTGGTACAGGGTTGATTTTAAAGGATTGAACTTTACAGAACCATGTAGAGTAAACCATGAGAACTCCCCGCCAACCTCAGATCCTACTTTCCTCCCCAGAACTAACTGCTGTTAAAACTTTGGCCTGTTTTTCCCTGCCCTTTCATGTGAGTATGATTTTACATTTGATTTTGTAACTGTAGCCCCACACACCTCAGGGGAGCACATACTCTGCCTCCTGACTGGTAGCTGCTCTGCAGGGAGAGTTTATCCTGTGTCAGGGGCTTTATGTACGTGATTGCATCTCTCAGTGCAGTCCTGTGAAGTAGCTGTTCCTGTCTATACAGTGGTTAATCTAGGTAACTTGCCCCACTCCACGCAGCCGGTTGGCTGTGGGCCAGGGATTCCAGCCCAGGCCTGTCTGCACCCAAGGCCTATGACAGAACTCTCCCCCAGGAATGCCACAAACAGTCTTCAGCTGTCCCAAGTCACTTTAATACATTGTTTATCGCTGTGGGGAAAAGGAGTGAGGTGCTAGAGTTTCAGATTTGTAATAACAGTTTTCCTGAAGGAATTTCAACATTAAGGGTATTTATAAAGTTACGTACTTGATGAGTAAACCTCAGCATCGCTGAGCCGTCTGTCTAGTTTTGCACGAGAGTAACAGCACTTCTTTTCCTAAAACCCAGCCCTTGACTTCCCGAGTGTAAGTAATTCACATCTCATCATTATGATTTTTGTTTTATCTGCATACTAGTAATATTTTCTTTTAAATTAGCTCGCTTTTAAAACTAAGTACCTACTTGAGCCTTATTATAAGATTAATGTCTGTCAAAATTTTGGGCTTCATTTACTTGTATTTTTTCTAACACTAAAATAAACACGTCAATATTCACATTTAAAAAATATTCCTTCCTGTATACTAGCTACTGCCACTTCAGGATACTTTGATTTAAACTGCTGCTCATCTCAATTCCTTATCATCCATCGTCACGATAAAGCACAAGGTCTCACATACCTAGCTGCACTGCCATGTGTCGGTGGAGCCTTTTTCTTGTATAGACAGTTCAGTTTGAGAGTAGATTGCATCATGTAAATTGCATGTCCTAAGTAACCGATCACATTATATCTAAATCTTGTTATAAAAACTCCTCCAGCTGTGAGAAAGAAATGGTTATTCCCAGCGTGCCTGCCTGCATTCACCACTTCTGCAGTCATGCAGATCAAGGAGTTTTTTCCTGGTGTGCCCTGATTTGGCTTCAGGATCCTTCCCAAGAGAGCATAGCAGGAATCATTAGAACTGGCATTGGCATAAGATGAATGTAAACCCATGCTTTTTTTCTAAGTGAAATACAGACCAACTAGTCCTTGAAGACCATTTTGTAGAACAGTGCTATGAGCGTATCACCTGACATGGGAAAATAGTTGAGTAATCTGATGGTACATCAGTTTTCATGCTGGATTTTAAACTCTTTCTCAAAAATTTAGCATTACTATAGATGATAATGGTTTATTTTTAGTACTGATTTATTAATCATCATCATTGTTAATATTTTTTGAGCACTTTGTGCTAGGTACTTTATTTGCATTATCTCATTTATTATTAGACTTGATGTATCTTGTAGTCAGTGAGTTTTATTTTCATAACTTCTGTCTGTCATCATGGTTTTTGAGTGTGACAAGCCTCTTCTCTTTTTGGTGGGCGAATGCCTAGCAGTTTATTAATTACCCGGAGCTTTATCAGGCACATGTGCGCAGTTAAATGATATAGTAGGAAGAATGTTGGGCAGAGTTCAGGCCACTTGAATTCTGCTCTCAGTCCTACCATTCTGTGCGAGTCAGTATAGATTTAGCAGGGATTACAGTGGTAGTCAAAACAGAAAGCCATAGGAACACCAAGGAGGGAGAGAGAATTTCTGACTGGAGTCACTAGGGATATTTTTATAAAAGAGGAGGAGGAAGTGTCATTTAAGTAGAGTCTTGGGGGACGGCAGCACGTAGGGTGGGGAGGGCATTTCAGGTAAAGGTAGGGAAAAGCGTAAGGTTCAGGGAATGGGTAGGGAGTTGTAGGAGATTAGACTGGAAAGGTAAATGGGAGGCTAGCTTAGGAAGGGCCCAAATACAGGTACACCACCATCTCCATGTAGATGGTGGGCTCCAGCTCTGTATCGTGGCTAGAGTGCATTGTAGGAGAGCTATTAATGTTAAATGGCATCTGCTGTGGACCTGAATTAATATTTGTTTCTTCTTAGCTTATTCTTAACTTACTGATTTATATAGGGAATCTGCATTGCAATGAGACCATAAGTTGACTCACAGCGTTACTCTTTACATTAAATTTAGTCATCGCTTTTCCATGTTGATCTATTTTGTATGTACTTCTTAGTGCTCCCAAGAAGACATTGCTGATAAACTTGGTTTGGACATCTCTGCAACAAAGGCAGTCCACATCAGTAATCCTAAAACAGCTGAATTTCAGGTAAGAATTGTAAGTAGATAAGAATTTGGGTAAAAACTGAGAGGCAGTACACGAATTATGAAAAGTCTCTTTAGTTATTAATACCTCAGATGGCAAAATCTTAAAGCTTTTTAAAAATCTCTTCTTGGTTGTTTGATACTTCGGTATAGTATCAAACCAACCAAGTCTAGATACTTGGTTGGTAGATACTTTGCTGACAAAAATTCTTAAAACTTCTTATAGTCTTTTCTTGGTTAACTTTACAGGTGGTTCTTACTTGCTTTCTGCTGTCTAGCCCATTCTTTCTTGTCTGAAGATTCCATTTCATAATTGATTTTTTAGTACTATTTTCAGATTTCATCTCTTTTCCACCCGTTAGTAATAAATGAATCAGCACCTGTTCCCGGTACCCCTATTAAGTCATTCACTTCGAATTTAGTTGTCATATCAGTTCTTGACTGTGCTGCCTGTGTCTTTCATTATAATTGTCTAGTTTATTGGCAGTTTCATGTAGAATTTAGGAGTATTTAAATGAGAATGATGCCACCTTAATAGTAAATGTTAAATGATTTACATTATAGATTAGGAGATTAACTATAAAAAGCAAGCATTTCAAGATTATAATATCTTTGCTTATTAATGACTTCATCTGTTTGATACTAATAGCTCGCGTTCTGTTTTCCTTGCATATGAAATTCTATATGGTTTTTTAAACCCAAGCTTTAGAGAAAAATCGTGTCTTCCAGGATCAAGGAGAATCTCAGAACTGGACGGAAATGCTTTTAAGAAAGTTACTGCTGGGGCTGGCCCCGCGGCATAGTGGTTAAGTTCGTGCGCTCCGCTGCTGGCGGCCTGGGTTCGGATCCCGGGGGCGCATCAATGCACCGCTTGTCAGGCCATGCTGTGGTGGCGTCCCATATAAAGTGGAGGAACGTGGGCACGGATGTTAGCTCAGGGCCAGTCTTCCTCACACACACACAAACAGACTAAATAAATAAAATAAATAAATTTAAAAAAAAGAAAGAAAGTTATTGCTATCATAAAATAATATCTGAACTCTGTGATTTGAGATAGTTTCCTTGAATCTTGGTTTTCACTTCTGTAAGAGTAGGGGGCTGGATTAGTTCTAAAAATTCTAAAAATGTTTAAATCTAACTTAAAAAATCTAAATTTTATAGAACTACCTACTAATGTGGCAGATTAGAGCTGGACTAATTTAAAGAACTACTTGGTGGTGATATGCATCAAGTACATAAATTCTTTCTCTCTACTTAGTGTCAGAACTTAAAGAATCCTTACACTGGTTTGGAAGGATTGTGATAATGAGTTCTTATGTTTTGTTTTCTGAGTCTGCTAGCTTTTCTGCTGTGTTTAAAAGATGCCCGTGGTGTTCTTTTTAATGTGAAATATTCAAGTTTATTTGGACAGACTAATTTTTTTAGTAAATCTTAATGAATTTTTGAGTTTATTCCATATTTTCCTTTGTCCCCAGTTTTATTTATCAAACCTGATGGATTTCTTAAGATGTGGTAATGTTATGTTCTTTAGAGTTTACATCTTTTGTCTTATCTATTTTATATAAGTGGAAGGAAAACAAATCAGAAACACATTAAATGTTACTATTAAATAGCTGTGGCTTTGCACATTTAAGAATCAATATTTCTTAATAAAATATGTTAGAGGGGCCGGCCCAGTGGTGCAAGTGGTTAAGTGCGCGCTCTCTGCTGCAGCGGCCCGGGGTTTGCAGGTTCGGATCCTGGGCGCGCCCCGACGCACCGCTTGTCAGGCCATGCTGTGGCGGCATCCCATATAAAGTGGAGGAAGATGGGCATGAATGTTAGCCCAAGGCAAGTCTTCCTCAGCAAAAAAAGAGGATTGGCAGATGTTAACACAGGGCCGATCTTCCTCACAAAAAAGAAAAAAGTACGTTGGAGATGAAAGAGAGTCGATCTTTTAGACTTGATAGATTCTGTATTTTACTCCTGCATTATGAATACATATCTCCTACCATTACTAATGTGGCTAACAGGTTTATATTTATTTAAGGTTAAAATAAATGTAAAGTTGTTTGTAGGCTTGTAACTATTTATTGGCTAAGCCCATTCTTTCTTCTGCATAATTCTTAACTTTGGGAAAAATTTTCGCTGTTCATATTTTCCCAGTTGTTTCGATTTTTTTTAATAGTTTGATTGATTTTGATTGATTTGGGATTCAGATGAGTTTCTTACATCCAAGTTGATTGATGTACTTAAGTTTCTTTTAATCTACAGGTTGCCCCTCCATCCATCCATGTCTCTCTGTCTCTGTCTGTCTTTCTTCCTTTCATTTGTTTGTTGAAGGAACTGGGTCATTTGTCTTGTAGAGTTGTCACGTGAAGGATTTTGCTGAATACATTCCAGTGGTCCCCTGTATTTCGGGTAAATTGGTAGTTAGATCTAGAAGCTTGATTAGATTCAGGTTTGACTTTTAATATATATATATTAGTGTAGGTTTTTAAAATAAGCATATAAGGCTTATCTATAAAATAAACTGAAAAAAACTAAGAAAAGTATCTACAAAAGTAGCTTGCTTATATTACTTATTCCAATAAGTTAAGCTTCTAACTTTCTTTCAACATTTTAGTTTTGTTTCTATGAATAGTCTGGGCACTTTCTCCCCAGCTGGGAAAGTGAATGATATTTAAGAAAGCACTGAGTTGAAGACATATAGCTGCTTGCTGGTAGGTGGAAACATCTTCTCTTTTTCCCTCAACACACAATCTAGCAAGTCCTATTAAGGGCTCACTACTACTTGTGCAGGATCCGGGAGGGGCTGCTGTTTTTTTTAGCTAGGGTGGTCAGGGCCAGTCTCTGTGGGAGAAGACCTTTGAGCAGAGACTTGAAGGAAATAGCCACATGCGAATCGAGAACAAGAATGTACAAGGCAGAGGAGAGCAAGTGTGGAGGCCTGCGATGGAAACCTGCTTGCAGTGTGTGGCTGGAGCGCAGTTAGCTGGGGGAGCAGCAGATGTTGAGGTTGGAGTGGGGGCCAGCGCCAGATTCACGTAGGGCCCCATATAGGCCATGGGTTGTGTTCAGAATTTGCTGGGGACCTATTTGAGATTTTTGAGTAGGGGAGTTCCATGATCTGATTTAAGTCTTAAAGGGTCTCTCTGTGTGGAGAGTAATAGACCATAAGGTGGCAGGAGCGGAAGCAGAGAATCCGGCTTAAGAAGCTCATGCAGGGCCGGCCCCGTGGCTTAGCGGTTAAGCGTGCGTGCTCCGCCGCTGGCGGCCCGGGTTCGGATCCCGGGCGCGCACCGACGCACCGCTTCTCCGGCCATGCTGAAGCCTTGTCCCACATACGGCAACTAGAAGGATGTGCAGCTGTGACATACAACTGTCTACTGGGGCCTTGGGAGGGGGGAATAAATAAATAAATAAAATCTTTAAAAAAAAAAGAAGCTCATGCAATAGGCTGGGCAAAAGAAAGTATTGGAGTCTTACTGCAGAGCCCAGACTCTTAACCATGATGTCATACCACTGCTCATAAAACCCTTCCGGTAACGTGATGTGTTGGAGGCTAGTGTGCCTCTTATAGCTTAGAATGAGAAATTTATTTCACAGAAAAAAGCAAAGAAGTTTTGCTTTTTTTTTTTTGTTTTTTTAAGAACTAGCATGGGGGCTGGCCCAGTGGCATAGCGGCTAAGTTCACCTGATCCGCTTTGGCGGCCTGGGGTTCGCGGGCTCGGACCTACATACCGCTCATCAAGCCATGCTGTGGCTGTGTCCCACATACAAAATAGAGGATGATTGGCACAGGTGTTAGCTCAGGGACAATCTTCCCCAAGCAGAAAGGGAAGATTGGCAACAGATGTTAGCTCAGGGCCAATCTTCCTCACTAAAAAAAAACAAAAAACTAGGATGTATATTTGTATTTCTCATGAATAGTGAGCATGAAATAACTCCACATTTTTCCTGTTGTTTGGCTACTGAGTGAAGACTGTACTCTCAAGCTGCACAGAGTAGCTGCATGGTCTCTAGTGCCACACATTTGTGTTCTGTTTTCCTCATTGTCCTGGTATTTCAATTGCATTGACATTTTCCCTTGTCCTGGTTTTTAAAGATTTGGTCAGTTCATATTTAATTGATTTAAATATTTGTTTTTCTGTTTTTTCTTTTTTTATTGAGGTAACATTGGTTTATAACATAAATTTCAGGTGTACGTCATATTTTGATTTCTGTGTAGACTACATCAAATACATACAAATGTTTGTATTTCTTATAATCTACTTCAATTACTTTGTGAAATGAAGCAGGATATGAAAATTTGCACATTTGAAATCTTGAAAGCTAAGTATAATTTTTAAAATGATAATAAAATAACCAACCCTGGATAAAGCAATTATATTTGTTATAATATTTGTTTTTCACTTAATCAAATGTATGATTTTTCATTTTGTAAGTGGAAGCCAGAATGCTTTCAATTCTCTTAGTCTCTTGGAATTAAAAATTAAAAATGACTTGGATATTGAGGCATCGCATTTTTCAGAAGTGTCTTCCTTTGAGACCATGGAGTCTTTCCACTTTGTCTCTAACGCAGTATGTCTGTTCCGTTCCTATTTGGTCAGTGCAGTTTCATGTCTTCTCCTGTAGGTGGCACGCACTACCCTTCTTCCTGGCCTCCTGAAGACCATAGCGGCGAATCGGAAGATGCCCCTTCCTCTGAAACTGTTTGAAATCTCTGACATTGTAGTCAAAGATGCTACCAGAGGTAAGACTTGAAGTCATTTTTGATTTGTATACCTAAAGCATATTTTTATTATGAAAATTTCAACTGAGTATAAAAGTAGAGAAAATAGTATAATTATCCCTGTGAATCCAGCACCCAGCCTCAGCAGTTATGAACACGTGGCCAGGCTTCTTTCATTTATACTGCAACCCATTTCCTCATGTTATTTTAGTGTAAATCCTAGACGTTGTATTTCATCAGCAGACACTTTATTATGTCTTTCTAAAAGATAAGGACTACCACTTTTGTTAAAATAACCGAACACTATTATCTTATCTTATTATCATCAAATATCCGGCTAGTATTTAAATTTTCCCAATTGTCTCATAAATCTGATTTTCATGATTGATTTATTTGAATCAGTCCAAGCAAGGTCCAGATATTTGTTATGTCTCTTATTTCTTTTAATGGAAAGCAAATTTTAACAAAGAATTTAATAATATTTATGAAGAGCCCTGTTAAAACCTCAACTTGAAAAGCACTATGAAATATTTCTTTTTTTTTTTTTTTTGTGAGGAAGATCAGCCCTGAGCTAACATCCATGCCAATCCTCCTCTTTTTGCTGAGAAGACCGGCCCTGAGCTAACATCTATTGCCAGTCCCCCTCCTTTTTTTCTCCAAAGCCCCAGTAGATAGGTGTATGTCATAGTTGCACGTCCTTCTAGTTGCTGTATGTGGGACACGGCCTCAGCATGGCCGGACGAGTGGTGTGTCGGTGCGCGCCCGGGATCTGAATCCCGGGCCACCAGCAGCGGAGCGTGTGCACTTAACCGCTAAGCCATGGGGGTGGTCCCCTGAAATATTTTTCTTTCTTATATCACATGATTTATATGCATATCATTTTAACGTACTTGATATCTTGTAGTTCTAGTTTAGCAGTGACCATTCAATCACTGTTGTACAAATGATTATAAATGTGTTTGTACCAATTTTTATTTCCTTTGAGTATGGCCTGGACGTGTTAGTATAGCAGGTTGCTTGGCCCAATATTTGGAATGCAGTGGTTATTTAATAAATATATTTACTAAGTACTTAAACCTGATTGCCAAGAAAGTCTGTCTCATTCAAACTTCTCCGTGTCTTCAACCTTATACAAGACCAACTGTCTGTCTCGAGCTGCCTGTGTGGTCATCTCTTGGTGAGCGGTGCCGTCGAATGACTAAATTGCCGGCAGTATTTCTTTGGTTCCCTGGATTTAACAGGTCAAGTCCTAGCAGCATTTATACAGTGAGCCTTACTCCAGATTCTGGAGAAAAAAGTGTGTTCTTTTGAATCAGTTGACAAAAGCAGAGGCCTTTTCCTCAATTTCTCCTGAAGAGGATCCTATGGCATCATTCTAACTACCAAACGTAATCGAGAACTATTGGCAGTAAATCGGCCTGTCTTAGGAAAAAGATATTATAAAGGTATGACCACCTCGACTGTCTGTGTGTAGACTGTCCATAGCAGACTTGTCAGTCAAGGCCGGGTTCCGTCTGCCCCCCAGTTGGCAGCCTGTCTTCAGTTAATAGCCTCACCTTATGTTTATGTGGTGCTTTTTACTTTTCAAAAAAAAATTTTTAAGGGTGCTTTTTCTCTTTTGATTGTTAAAACATTTCTATGAGGCAGATGGGAGAAAATATTGTCCCCATTTAATATATAGGAAAATTAAGACAGAAAAGTGGTAATTTGCCCAAGGCTGCATAAAATATTGGACTTAGAGCTAGGGCCAGAATTTTGGTTTCAAGTGCATGTATCCTTAGAGAATAAAAGTTTATTTTCATGTCAGTCTTTGTAGAATTTTTCTTAGATGATAAATCTGCTGTAATAAAAATCAGAAAACATTTTTAGTGCCAGCTGCAAATAGTTTTGAGGGTTCTTGTGCCTCAAATCCTCCACTGGTACAGATAACTGAAAATTTGTTATAATTCCAGTGTCAAATTTTTCTGTTAACTTTGACTTGTTTCCTTTCATCTTAGTTCTTTGAGTTTTATGTTGTCTTGATCCTTGGTGATTCATTCAAATTTATAAATATAGGATTAGGTTAATTACACTGGGTTTCCTCAAAGCTTTTGTAATACTATTTCAGCAATAGGCCTCTTCCCTAATTGCAGGCGCTCCCTGCAGGGCTCTGCAGGGCTGGGCATGCTCACAAGCAGGCAGCTCAGAGTCTTGGAGGGTGAGGGTGAGGAGCAAGCTGGGGTCCCCACAGTTGCTACAAGGAAGGTTTCGCAGTAGGCGTGGGGCACTTGATTGCAATCCTGGGTGGAGGTGCCTTGGCTGTTTTTCTTTTCTTCTGTTTCTTAGGAAGGTGGAAGGCCCAGGCATAGACTTCTCTCTGCCCCACGGCCCATGCTTGGAGATAACGCCCTATTGAGAGAGAGCTCTTCTCAAGCTCTAGTGCTATAGGCCATTGTGTGACAAACCCCAGAAACCCATCCATGTACTTGTTAACACAGAGATTTGTATGTCTTCTGCACTTCGTTGCGTCAGGAAGAAGAGTTCTCCTCTCTGTAGCAGACCTCTTTTATACCTGTTTTTAGTTGTGATTATTCTGCTTTATTTCTCCATCGATCCATTTCCATCTGATGCTACTTTTGCCTGTTGTCTCACACCATTATGGTTTATTCTTTTCTTTAAAATTTCCTATCATATCAATGGGATTTGAGGAATGAGAGGAGGTAAAAATGAGCTCAATGAGTCCACCATCTTGAAAACATAGGTTTGCTTTAATTTATTTGGAGTGTTTCCTATTTAGGTAGGCCTAGATGTTGTTTCATTACAAAAGAAGCTTTCTGATGGATTATTCTAGATATGTACATGTGGACTCCCTACTTGTCATCTGGTCTGCCTAGAGGCCTCCATAGGAGATGCCATGCCGTAGAGGGACTCTGCAGCCTGCGTGCCTGGGTTTCAATCGTGGTTCTGCCACTTACCAGCTGCTTGACTTTGGACAATTTGTTTAAAATCTCTGTGCCTCAGTTTCCTCCTCTCTACAATGGGAATAATGATATCACTTATTTCATTAGATTTGTCATAAGGATTAAATGAAATTGCATTTTGAGCAGTCCCAGCCACACAATAAGGTGTTTGCTCTTGCTGTTACGATATAGTGATCCCCAAGGCCAGATACCTAGCATCCAGGTCTCTGGGAATTTTCCACTAGAATGACTTGAAAACCTTTGCTGGCCATTAAAGGGTTAGTGTCGCCTTGCTAAGGCACTTGGGCTCACTTTTATCCTAACCTTTGACTTAATTGGTTTTTCTTCTGTTGTGCACTGTTGTGTTTAGGATAAGAAAACCAAATTGTGCTAATGTGGGGATTTACTTAAGAAAATAGGAATGTTGTTTTTTTGAGTGATTCATCACCCACTTCTTTTCAATGAATTGAGTACATATGTTTTTATTGTCTCTCAAACTGGTAACCATTTCTCTGTTGGAGTTACGTTGGCCATTTCCTCCTGAATAATGAAACTATTTTGAAGAAAAAGAATCTAGACCATCAGAAGTGAAATGATATGGGCCGGCCCCGTGGCTTAGCGGTTAAGTGCGCGCGCTCCGCTGCTGGCAGTCGGATCCCGGGCGCGCACCGACGCACCGCTTCTCTGGCCACACTGAGGCCGTGTCCCACAAACAGCAACTAGAAGGATGTGCAACTATGACATACAACTATCTACTGGGGCTTTGGGGGGAAAATAAATAAATAAATAAAATTTAAAAAAAAAACAAAGAAGTGAAATGATAGAGGAGTTTTCCAGTTAATATGAAAATGTCCCAAATTTTCATTAATGAGGACAGTACCCAAACTACTGGTTCACAATGGATGGAGATGTGTGGCAAGAGTGGTCAAGACAGTCTCGTTCATTGCACTGGTAGCAAAGTATTTTTGAGTTCCTTTTCTTTGCCAGGGACTGCTTGGAATATAAGAGAAGGAGTTGCCAGTCTTGAGGGAGACAGACCGGTGAACGGATTTTACAGATAGAGCTCCAGGGGAATGTGCAAGGTGCCCTGATAGCACAAAGAAGGGAGTGACAGCTGCCACTAACTTGTTTTGTAACATTGAGGAAAAACCCAACCCTCTCAGCCTCACGTCCCTTTTGTGTAGGCAAGCATATCTTCCAAAATGGAAATGGAGAAGGAATCTCTCCTGGATTTCAATGTGCCTCATGCAAATTTTGTCTGACCTGCATTCCTGTAAGAGCAGAGAAAGACTACTAACCCCTATTTTCATGTTTGACCTCCCTGGATAGTTTCTTATGTTAATGTGGAGTTTTGGACTGACCATCCATGTTGTGAGGCTGTCAGCCTGCCCATTTAGTGACGAAGTGACAAGTCAGGCAAACTTCTCAAGTATTAAAACTCCCACTCTGCGTCTGACGTAGTCCAGTTCTTGGAGGCTGAGCCACCCACCACATTCATTGAGTTGTAAGATCTGAAGTTGCTGCAAGATTTAAAAAAATTAGTCATGACTCAAGGGACTAAGTTGATTTATCCCTTTTGTTGGGCAGAGTGGCATCTGTCTTTAGAATGAGAAGTTAAATGCAGACTCTGCTGTGGGTTAAATTTTCAACTTTATAACAGGGAAGTCAGGAGAGGCAGCACTGAAGCTATCAAATCAGGCTGCTGTGTGAGTTATTGATCAGTTTCAGTTGTTAATACTTTTGTTTTTCTGTTCCATGTCAAGAATAACTAAACTATAAACAAAATAATAAAAAATTACTTCAGAGGAGCAATTGTGAATTGCTAACCCTCATGCCCAGAAAAGCAACTATGTTTTGCGACGTTCAGCATTCTGGCCTTTTATTAAATGCAGATTGAATTCCACCACCACGATGGTTGCTGAAGCGGCCAGTATGCCTAGAAGCTCACAGAAATGGCAGGAGAAAACGTATCACTGGTTGAGTCTGTTTAAAAGGAATGATAGCCTAGGAAAGAAGCCTTAGTTTGTAAAGTATTTTGGGTGACTTAGGTTTAGCACGATACAGTCATCCAGTTGTCAATTT